AATCTTCACTAAACTCTTCCTCCTGCAGCCTGATTTATTATTCTTAGCTTACTGTGAAGCTCTATCCTCACTGAATAAGAACCTGAATAAGTTACATGAGAAGCATATTATAATCTAAGTTCCCAGCAGGAGCAGGTTCAAGTTCAGACAGTACATCCTGCAGCAACCTGTGTGTCAGGAGGTCAGCTTAATCAAGAGTGCTGCCACGGTATTCCTTCATTATTTGCAGTTTTCCATAAGGTTGCTGGGTACAGTTAAAGGTATTAATTCAGCTGACGATACTTGGACCTCACTTTCAAACCAACTGGAATCAAATTTTGAAACAGCAAGTGAAAAATATTGCACTTCTACATAAAGAACAAATCGCTTGATGAATTAGGTTTGGTGAATTGAAGGGAACACTGAACAAAAAGTGTATGGCAGCTCATATTACCTATTTCTCGTGCTTTTGAGCTCTGCAAATCAGAACTAGAAAGCAAGTTCTGCATAAGATGTAATTACAAGTATTGAAACAATAAAACTAGGTAAATTGGTGGTGGTACAAATAGCTACTAATAAAACAGGTAGAAAATACTTTTACATTCCTAGTGCTTCTCAAATTATATTACAATAGCCAACAAAAATAGGCATTAAAACAATAACAATAAAACAGTTGGTAAAAGGTTTTATCTCATTCATATTACAGGAGGAAAAGTTTTTGCTCTTTTTTGCTTTGTTAATGCTAGCTTTTGATAAGACCAATAAAAAATACCACAAGATATGCAGACTCAACATCAATACCAATTATTTGAAAAAGGAATCAAAATAATTACCCTTTCTAAAGAGAGTTTTTAAAGTAGAAGTAACATTCATAAAACTCCAGTGAGTTTAATTTAATTCAACTATGTACAAAACAGTCTGTATACTGTAAAATATCTTTACGATTACTACTACATCAGCCTGCCTGCATCATTTCTATTGCCAGCCTCAAAGCAAACAAACCTCAGTGCCCAGCCATCCTTCCACTGTCTTGGGACTATTAGGAGCAGTTAAATTATGAGGCCAAACTCTGGGATAAAAGCACAAACTCACTCCTGAGTAAACTCCCAGCAGTGACCATAAGCACACCTTGCAGGGCACTCCCTTCCTCCTTGATTCCAGGATTTTGCAGTTCACTCTCCAACTCCCTACCTGGACACTGTTTAGCAAAGCTCTATGTGCCTGCCTTAAAAACGTCATAAGTCATTTCCTTCAGTATCTTTATAATCTAATTTCTTACAGAAATCATTTCAAAGTACGTTGATATTTTCAGCATCAAGATGCCTGGAACTACATACAATTTCTGAGATACAGTACAACCAGTTGCTAACAGAGATAAGTAGCACCTTGCCAATAACCAGACTAAAGAGGCACTGAAGGTAATACTGAGAGTTTAGTTGGTCTCAAAGCAAGAGCACTTTTATACTCTCTCCTCTGTAAATGCATAAAAAGCCTTAGTCACTTATTATAACTATACATCAGTGGAAGTCTTCTGATCTTTTTTCTCCAGAATAAAGAAGAACGGTACTTCAATTTTAACTAAAGAAGCTTTCTGAGGGAAATAGGCACAGGAACTTATTTCATTCTCCACAGAGTCAATCACATGGTTTCAATTTTTACCTTGCACCACAATCAGGCAATGCTAGCTCTGCACTCTCACTCTGGTCTAGCACTAGGCTTTGAAATCTCAGGAGCTCAAGTCAGAAACTTAATCTAATTTCTTCTCTGTGGATATTTTTTTCTCTCAACCATAAAGGAAATGTTACACAATTACTAGTACACAGCTCAAAACACAGCTCAAAGCTGCCATCTCTAGGTATTATGTTCTACTACTCTTCACTGCAAACTATTTTTCTGGTTTTTTGAGAGATTGAAGATCTAAAAGGAAAAACATAAAAAGTTTATCTTAGTAAGTTAATTTAAGAACTTATTGCAGGAGGATATACTACTTCTACTTGCATGGTCAGCTCCTTTTGGCCCATGTAATTTTTGACATTTGACACAATCACTACAATCAGCATATTAGTTAATTATTTCACATAAGTTCATTATTAGAGAACACTGATTACTAATTAACATGTCTTCAACAACAGCAACAGCTTCTTCACTACACACTTGCTTGTAGCTTTCATTATTATTAATAAGAGTTGCATTTCCTTTCTAAGATCCAAAGAGATTTCTGAATTAACAGGTCTATTATATTTAATATTTTCTGGTCAAAGTGTTTCTAAAATGGTTACCCTTTAGTCTGGAATGTCTCAAGGAAATATTAGTACCATCAAATAAAAAGATGAAATGATAATTTAAGCCTTTCTTCTGAACTGCTAAATGACACATTACTCCCATGTTTCCCATCTAAAAGCTCCACATTCTGCAAGAACTGTAATAACTAAAGATACCAGTCAGAAAGAAAACACTATAAAAAAGGAAGACCCAAACATAAAAAGAAACTAAAATGTACAACTAAAAGGGTAAAATCTTTAATGGCAATATGAAGACATTTTAAGGACATCTGCTCAGATCATATGAATGCTTCCTATTAAAAAAAAAAAAATCCATTACAAATAACAAAATAAAGCTTAACTTAGTAGAAGGATAATAGAGACTTAGAAGAAATAAAGACTTTTCAAAACAAAGGTTCAAAAACTCTGGCAGACTAAAACAGACACACACATAAAGGCAAGTGATGAAACAGTTTAATGAGCTGCCTGCAAAATGTATAACTAAAGTACTAATAAATCGTTTTTCAAATGCATTAGCAATACAGCCAACTAGATACGTTGTGGTGCCAACAGACAGTCTGAAGGAATGTTCTGAGAAGGTCAAGCCATAGCAATAGAGTGAGGTTAACTTTTCCATGTGAGTCCTTCATGGTGGACTTTACAGGTATTTCCATAGCAAAAATTAAAAACAGAAGGTTAAAGTAGTGGGGGAGAAAAATGGCAAAAAAAAGTGACCAGGATCAGTTCTGAAGAAATATAAAAACAAAACAGCTGACCCCTGTCTGTAGTATGTAAATTCCTGCTTAAAAACGTGTCCATACCAGAAGATCGATAAGAAAGAGGAAGAAAGGCCTGAATTCAGTGAATAAAACAAGCAGACTGAGGAAAATGCTATGAACTTCTGAAAAGGGAAGTTATATCTTGCAAATCATTGGCTTTTCCTGAAGGAACCAAAAGTCCACTTGACACATTTATCCAAAATTTCTAAAGGATGCTTCATAACACTCCTCATGCCCTAAAGAAACTAAGATGCCCTGGGACAAGCAAGGCAGACAACACCAGGCTAAATAAGTCAATAAAGTTTTTGGGGAAAAAACAGTTACTTCTTAAATGAATAAAGGTCATTATTGGTGTCCCACAGAGATCTGCAATTGGGATTTATTTGTTCAACATACTGAAAAACAAGATGGCAGAGGTATGAGAGGAAAAATGGTAACGCTTTTTGACAGTACTGTGTTACTCAAAACAGCAGAGGCAAAGGTCAAAAGCAAGGAATTACAGAACAATCTCCAAATGCTGAATGTGCAATACAAGAATGAAGAAAAGGGTAAATTAAAGTTCATGTACATAAGCATGAAAATATGAAAATATTGAAAAAAAAACAAAACAAAACAATTCTAAGTCTGTACATACAGGGATGGGTTTTGAATTGACTAGAATGAGATATTTAGGTTATAACTAACAGTTATGTGAAAATACCAGTTCAAAGACAACAGCAGGTTTTCAAAAAGCAAAAATACCCTAAAGAATTAATAAGAACAAATTAACTAATTCAATGATGTCAATCTCTGAGGTAAGAAGACACTAAAGGCTGTGATTTCCCCCATCTCAGAAGGGATATAACAGAATTAGAAGAGATAGAGGTAATGACAAGATGTTATCCAAGGTATGAAATATCTTCCTTATAGAGGATTATTAAAAACAGAAGGAATTTTTAGTTTGAAAAAGAAATTATTGAGAGAGGATGTGATGGACTTTCAGAAAATCATGAGTGGTACAGAGAAAATGAAATGGATATAAAAAAGTGGGGATTATCAAAATTAAACCAGCTAGTACCAGTACTCAAAAGGTGATATTTCTTGAAAAAATACACTGGAATTCTTAGGCACAGGATGATATCAATGCTGAAATAAATATATGATCCAAATAAATATTTTATAAATATAAATAAATATAAATATTTTTCCCCCAAACATTTGGGGGAAAAAAAAACTTATTAATTTTTTTTTCACTAAAATACTATCTTATTTTAGGAAATCTCAGCTGCAAACTAGGACAGTATTCTGAAGAAGCTTCTACACATTGCTGTCATTTTTTCTTATATTCTTCCCTAGGCATTTGCTCTTACCCATTATTCAAGACATGTTACCAGGCGAGATGAACGCTCTGGTTTGACCTGATGCTTTTTGTCCTTCCCTGCTGGGGGTGTCTCATGCAAGCAAATGAAAATTTGTGATACAGATTCTGTAGTTCTGTGTCACAGTTAACAAGTTTGCCATCATCTGCAGCTCGTCTCGCTGATGGATATCTCAGGCACACGTTGTAGCCTTCTCTCCAGTCCTGTCTCCTTGTGCTCCCGACTGAAGAGTCCCCGGACCCAGATCATCCTTTGCCACATCTTGGGGCTGCCAAAGGACCCCGTTACCAGCACTTGGCTCTGCCTGCTGGGCTCAGCCCCTGGGGATGGTGCCTGGTCAGCAAGAGCATTGCCCACAATTCCAATTATATCACACACACACACCTGCTTTTAATTGGCAGTTTAGCTCTGAGGATCACAGTCAGATAAGTGACTTCTATCTATTGAGCAACCTCTGTTCAAAAAAATGTGCAATCCATCTCAGTACTGAAGAAAACACACAAAATATTTATGGACTAGAAATTAAACTGTCCTCAAAAATCTACGGTCACGGGGAGTCATTCTAAGATCTCTGACAGCACACACAAAGACATTCATTATACAGAATGCTGAAGAGCCCATACCTGATACAAAGCAAGGGTGTGCCCATATCTCTGGAGTGGCCCTTTGGATACAGGTACTACATTCCATATACTGCTTTCCAAATTGTAGCTAGAAGAGAAATAAAAGAGTAAACATTTTGCACATTTTGCACCTGCAGAGAAATAGAGGGGCTTGTACGTTCAAACTAACTTCTGTTTGGCAGACTAGATCAGCCACTGTTTCTCTGACATGGAAGTTTGTTTGCAGCAGGAACATGATCACTTCTAACTATTACAACAGTGCACTAACTTGTATTAATGTACCACAAGTTCATCAAGCAAAATACGAGTAGCTCTTTAAGGGACCCATCAACAGCTTCAGAAAATGGCAGTGTAATAAAAATCACCAGATTTATAAGAAAGCTCTGACACCGGGTTGATAAGCCCACTGATAATCAGATGCATGAAAAACACACCCCACTAAACTGCTCATGCCATGTATTTTTGCACTACTTCAAAGATTTACTGCTGAGCACCCTCTTAGCTATATGGTTGATTTTGGTTTCCATTATATTTTAATTAACAATTAATCCATTAATGCACTAACACACAAGATGGAAGAGAGGTAAAAAAATAAATGACAGAGGTAGAAAAGAGAAACATCAAAGAAGTTGGAATTTGTTTTGGATGACTGCAAATGTGTGGAAGAAAATAAGAGATAGACAAAACCAGGAGTAAACACACTAATGAGCATATCCTAACACCTACATTTACCCCACTTATGGTCTCTACATATATACAAGTTACCGTCCAAATCAGCTACACAATATTTACAGTTGCTTCAACTTTACTTTCAAGAGGGGCTCAGATACACACACATACAAACTGTCATAGATATAAACAAGTGAAATACAGTTGACCTACCTAACCCAACTGGTATGTCACCAACTGACTGAGTGCAGGCACTAAATAAAAGTCTCCTATAATCATAAATTAACTTGAATAACGCAGATAACATTTGAGACGTACTGTTTGAAAACATCAAGACATGGATTTCTCTCACTGTTCCACCACCACAAACATTTATATGTTTGGCAGTTTTTCACAAAGCTGAAGAAATTGCACATTAGTATCACATACAGTTTGATGTTGCCCATATTTTCAGTTTTTATAATCACAAGAAAATTACAAGCAGAAAATAAGACTGTTAATAAAGAACCTAAAAACGTATCCATCTTTCCATGAAATTACGAAATAGAAGCTGCCTCCCTGGTAAGCTCTGTTTTCCCCGAGCCACACCAGAAAGGATGTGACAAAAGGAGAAATCACTTACTTCAACACCATTTGGAAGGAACTGTAGTTAAAAGTGTAGCCACCAATGACCCACATGAACTTCCCGTGCAGGACGGCCTTGTGGGAAGCGCGGCCCACGGAAGGGCTGAAGGGCTTCACGTTTGGGAGGATCCAGTAAGACTCCGTGGAAGGGACGTTCAGAGAACAATCTGGACCTGTTTTGTAAACAAATGCGCAATTTGTGCAATCTGTTAGACGGGAACGTTAAAGCCAATAAAGCAGAAGCAGGGGAGGCTTAATTACAGATGTCAGGATTGCTCATTCTGATAAAATATGGGGTAGACTTTTATGTTTAGCAGATGCTCAATGAAAAAAATTGACAACGTGGCATGTCAGTCAGATTGAAAGCATTAGATTAGCTCAAATAATAACAATCCATTTCTGCACCCTTCTCAGAAAACAGATTGTGTGAGTCAAAAATTGAAAGAAAGGCGCAATGCATCACATTTTTAGGTGACTTATCACTGAGGTCTAAAACTGGTAGCACAATAGGCACTGTATGTTACCTCTGGAGAAAAACTATACTGTATTTGAACCACAGTAAGCTTATATCAAAAGAAATAACATAGTAAATTAAGCTACAATATACATTGCATTAAATCTCAGAAGTAAAAATTTGCCCTTTGCCAATGCCATTCTGTCTTGTTTTTCAAGTGGAAAATACACTACACAAAAGCACTTTATCAAAAGAATGATTTGAATATTTAGATTTTATAACATTTTATATATAATTCTACAAAGTCACCAAACACACAGCTTTATGTTATTTTCAAATACATTTCAACCAATCATTTTTTAATAAGGAAAAGCTATAAAAATACATAGTTTTTTAGTTATAGGACAATTAAAATAATGAACAGCAAAATATTTTTTAAAGTCTGTTCTGATCTTTTCATCATTAGTTTATGTTCTAGATCTTGTTATTTAAAACCTGAATATATACAGAATTTTGCTACCAAAAAAAATTTAAAAAATAAAAAATTAAAATAAAGGCAGCACATATCTCTTGTCAGTGCCTGTACATCAATACTGACTGGCTTTATTTCTAAATGGAGAACACTGAATTTTTAAGACACCAGTGTGCTCCACTTTAAGCCTTATCAAGCATGGAATTGAGAGTTTTGCCATCAGTGATGGCATACTGGTGCTGTACAACATTTATGATCCTGAAAGAAGACGAACAGTGAGGAAAAACTGCTACTAAAGGCAATTACTGGAAGGCACAGAGAATCAGATCAGCCTTTGAAGAACCACAGAACAATCCTACATAGTTAAATTGAAAACTAGGTAAGCTACATTTCAGGATCATTTTAGGATAGTTCATGAAAGTCACTATTCCATCACCACTCAGCAAGGGTCAAAATCTAAGCTGTGTCAGAGAATACTGTTCCCTTACTGCACAAATCTGTGGTTTGTGCACCCTTCGAAAACTGTGTGTCCTACTGAAAGAGAGATTAGAGTTGGAGACTGTTTACAGCAGAGAAACAAGGATGTTCCAATTACAGAGCTCATCACATTCCTTTGAATTAGTGATTTTTTTCACTTGGAGAAAAAAGAAAATTGTGTGAAAAATAAATGTCTATAAAATAAGTGACAAAAAGAGGGTGGATATGAGGAGTCCATAGTCTCTCTAAATGTAAAGAACCGAGAATCATCAAATGCAGCTTGAAGGAATTGTGTTCAAAACAAACAAGAGGAGATAGTTCTTCATGCAAAAACTATCAGATCTCCTTGGCAAGGATGCTCCCCTGGCAAAGGATGCTCTGAATGCAAAGATTTACACTGTGTCAAGGAGAGACCAGACACACATTTAGAAGAGAGAGCTGCTGAAGTTTACTAAATAAGTAATGTACAGCAAGTTCATAACTGGAAAACATATTATCTTGGAAGGGGTGGGAGTGCAGGGAGATTACATTTTCCGATGTTTGTTACAATTTTTGGGGCAACTCGTTACAGTTACTTCTTATACACAAAACCCAGGCATCCGATCTGTACCTAACCAGCTGTCAACCTTTCCTGGTTCACTGAGAAGAATGATGTCCACTCGTACCCAAATTACCTTCCACTCACTAAATGATGGAGACACTCAATTCCCACAGTTCATTATACCTTCTACTCAGAAAAGATTAATGGTATTTGAATGAGGTCTAATGAGAGCATGAACAATTCAGCATATTATTTCTTAAGCGTTAATAATGAATACTGTAATAGAGTTGTAACCTCAGCAAAATTGCAGTTTGGTAAATCACTGGAGGAAACGCTTAATTTGAATCTAAAAGGGCTTTAAAATAAACAATTGATTAAGTATTCTTTGATCGGGGAAGAGCTTAAAAATGATGAAAACGGTGCCCCCGGTCAGAAGGCGAAGCCTGTTGTTACCACGACCCCGCACGGGGATGTGGTGGCCAACAGTGACCCCCGGTGGCCCACAACGAACAAAGCAGAGCAACGGGAATTCTCACTCCCGGAGATCGGGAGCTGCAAAAATCCGCACGGCAAACCCGAATGCCGTGAGATGGCGTTGAGTGTAATAAATGAAGACAAGCAAAGCCTTTTTATGTTAAGTTAGGAAAGCAAAAATCTTAAAAATACTGTGAACCGGGTTCAGACAATTCCCTTCCAGCCTCAGGGCTCCCTTGCTGAACGACAGGGAAGATGAGATAGAAAGGAGAAACTGGTATCATAGAATCATAGAAAGGCTTAGGTGGGAAGGCACCTTAAAGATCCTCTAGTTCCAAGCCCCTGAGTAAGGCAAAGAAGACCATATTTCGTGTCAATCAGTAAAAAAATGGAATATGTAGTTGCAAAAATGCAAACCAATAGAATCATGCTGGCTTTAACAAAACATCATTTAAAAAGTAAATGCTTTTGTGGGGCTATTTAAATATCCCTTATAGATTTTCCTGCTTGAATACATATACCATTAATTCAGCATAAATACATTTTCTCTTCAGAAACATCCCATTCACTAAATACGTGCTTTTTGAGCAGCAGAGAGCACTACAGCTGCAGAACAATGATAATGAAAAATATGTTTTGTCATGTTCCATGCAAATATGATTTCTCTCCGTTTACTTAAAATTGAATTTCTTTCTTATCTTCCTAATGTGTCAGTCAAACCACTGGGAGAAAAAAAAAAAACTTTAAAAACAGCAAACAACTTAATAAACCTGAATTGGAAGTCAATTACATAATCCTCTAAGGTAGGAAAAAATTCTTTAGGTTTAAAAAAGTGATTTATCCACACAACACATGAGAAAGAATCTAATTTCTATTTATTGAGAAGTTTCATGAAAAGCCAAAGTAACAATCTGTTCCAGTAGCTTAAGTCATAAGATCAATTTCCACCTAATGACTAAACCTCATCTACTGTCTTCAAACCTAATCTTTTCCTTCAGGATCACAGGGAGGAAAAAAAAAACAAAAGCATTGATGCATTGAATATAAATTTCACTGTCCTCTTTTTTGTACAGTCTAACCAAAGCAGTTAAATAAAGTATTTGTTGTTTATTCTGTATTTGTTTGTCGTTTGACCATATGAGTTGAGAATCGTTTCTTCAACACAATTTTTCAATCGTAAATACAAACCCAATACCACTTTTTCCAAGTACCAATAAAATCTCTGCATGACAATGAATTTGAGATTGTGAAAACAATCTTCTTTTAGATAAGAGAATATATAACATTAATATAAGCATATATTAGGATACTTTCCATAAAATCTCATAAGAAGTTTCACCAAGCAGTATTTTAAGGGAACTTCCCAGTCTGACCATTTGTGAGACTCGCTGTCAGTCACACTCCCAGCACCAGAGACTTTCACTGCTGTGACTGGAGCCAGATAAATTCCCCAACAGGTAAATCACCTTTCTTAAAGAAAAGTGGTATCAACTTGGTATTTTTATGTAGCTGGTATTTAAATGAGAATAAAGTGTTGTTCTGGAATGGCTCACAGGCATTCTGATAGGACGTGTACCTATGGATCTCTGCGCTGTCACTGCACAGCTCTGAGACATCCACACGGGATGTAGTTATTTATCCCACCCTGCAAATGGTCTTGTTGCAAAGGAGACTCAGTGGTAGATCCCAGAGAGATCCTGGCTAGGTGTCCAACTAGCTGTGCCAGGACTCCTCAGCCCCCTGTATGAATGAGACAGAAATCTGAGTGCACACAAGCTGACACAGTTCTTAAAATGCCATCCGGTTGCTTAGTCAGTCCCATTTGTTTCCTCAGCCAGGCAGGTGGATCATCCAAGAGATATTTGGCTGCAGGGGATCTGCAGGGTCAGTCTGAGCAGTCAAGCCAAACAGGCTGTACTGCTGCCATCGGTGTGTACTGCTCAAGGGTGCCCTTTAGCTTTTGACTCCAGATCTCCCACTCCAGATCAACAAGGCAGGTACAGAAGAGTAAGGCCTGATGTCACAGCAGTGTTTGCTGAAAGCACATTGCACAGAAAGCTTTGCTAGTCTTTCGTGACTAAGAACAAGCATGTTCTTTGGTAGACTTTGCATGAGATTTGTCATCTTAAACAAAAATGTGCTTTGCTTCTTAGTCTTTAAAAGAAACAGAGCTTTTCAGATTACCAGTAGCTGACAACACCCATTGGACTTGAGATTTCGAGACTCCATGCTAATGGCATCAGGATATTTATCTCTAATATCTCTCCTGGCTTCTAGAAAACTTCACAGCTCTAACTCAAAAGCCTCCTTCCAGTTTTAAAACCATGTACTAATGGCCAGTTTATCCCATTTTCTCTTCTACCAGTGTTGGTATCACTGAACTCAAAGAGCTGGTCTGTCTGTTCACCCCACAAGTGCTTATAAACAACCACACTCCTCCCTCCTAGCCTTCATTTTATTAGTTTAAACAAAGCATGCTCTGTTAGTACCTCCCGTAGCTTTGACTGTCCTAATGGTTCTCCGAGTCTATTCCTATTTATATTCATAAAACTGTAGTAATACAACAAACTCTACTAGTGATGCTTTCGTATCTTTAACTCAAGTTTCCTACTAGTGCACTTGATACTTCACAGCCTATAGTTTGTAGGGTATATAAAATTAATAATATTCATTAGTTCATGTTCTAATTGAGGGAGACAGGCAAGTTTTCTCCCACGGCACCTTCCACACTTCAATCCAAGATCATAAAACAATT